CCCAGCACTTTGGGAGGCCAAGGCAGGTGGATCACCTGAGGTCAAGAGTTTGAGAACAGCCTGGCCAAGATGGTGAAACTCTGTCTCTACAAAAAATACAAAAATTAGTCAGGTGTAGTGGTGTGGGCCTGTAATCCCAGCTACTCGGGAGGCTGAGGCAGGAGAATCGCTTGAACCTGGGAGGCGGAGGTTGCAGCAAGCTGAGATAACGCCACTGCACTCCAGCCCGGGCCACGAGAGCAAAGCTCTGTCTCAAAAATAAGTAAATACGTAGATAAATAAATAAATACTGCAATGAAATATGTGAGGAAGTTGCCTCCACTCTAGGGGGGAAATGATAACTACAATTCCTTACATCTCTAACAGCAGTTTTACAGACTGCAAAGAGCTTTGGTACTTAGCATCTCAGCTGACAGTACCGCCAGGTCCGACTCCTGGTACAGTAATTTGGTAGAATGCAGATTATCACACTCACTTGACTGGATATTACAAAGACTAAAAGCAGTAACGCACCTGGCACTCTTCTCAACGAAAGGGTAGGATGGGATAGTTCATAGGTAAACCCACCGAAGGTTGGCGACTAACGTAAAGGATTAACAGCACCGTTTTTTTTCAAAACTCAATACGTCCTAGATCCTGTGCTAAGGGCTTTACAGACATCATCTAATTTGATTCCTACCTGTCTATGAAGCAGGTACTGTTATCATTCCCATTTCACAGGGGACAAAAGTGAAACACAGAGATAACGGGTAAGGTCACCCTGCCAGTGGGGACGCGACGTGAACCTAGGCAAATTGACATAACTCCTGCACTTTCTTGCCCAAGGTCACGGCGGTGTGAGGTAGGCAGGAGAAGGGAGGGGGCTGACCTGTCAGATACTTGTTCCTGGGTGAGCTTCTTGTCGCTCTGCAGCAGGATGGACACGTAGTGGCGGATCATGCCTACGAAGAAAGTGATGATAACGATGGGTAGAACCACCCAGAGGCGGATGTTAGAGTCGAGCAACAGTTCTGGCCCTGCCATCTTCACTGAAAGCTGGCTCCCAGTCGGGAATGGGCGAGCTTCTCTTCTCCAGGGCGCAGTTGCTTCTCTTCGGCTTCTCTTCGACTTCGCCTCCGGGCCTTCTCACGCCCCTTTGCCCCGATATCCCAGAACTACCCTTCAACGGAGAGGCCAGCTTACTGCCTTCAGCTGGGCTGCCCGGCCTTACACTTCCGGCGCGAAAGTTGACGTCACGACGTGGCGCGCCTCGGTGGCGTCAGAGCAGCGTCGGGCCTGGCGGGAAAGTGGAAAACTACCTGCGGCGGGCCGGCGTGGTGGTTCACCCTTGTAATCCCAGCAGTTTGGGAGGCCGAGGCGGGCGAATTAGGAGGTCAGGAGATCGAGACCATCCTGGCTAACACGGTGAAACCCGTCTCTACTAAAAATAGAAAAAAATTAGCCGGGCGTGGTGGCGGGCGCCTGTAGTCCCAGCTACTCGGGAGGCTGAGCCAGGAGAATGGCTTGAACCCGGGAGGCGGAGCTTGCAGTGAGCCGAGATTGCGCCACTGCACTCCAGCCTGGGCGACAGAGCAAGACTCCGTCTCAAAACAATAAATAAATAAATAAAACTACGAGTGACGACTTCTTGGTGAGTAAGTGGAGCAGTGGTCATAGTCTCTGCAGGCCCCGCTCCCCTGCGGCCTAATCTCTAGGCCCGGTCCGCGGTCGTCGTTCTTCTCTGAGACTCCGCGCCCGAATCCTCGGTTTCCTCATCTGCCCTGAGATGGGATAATCCCCACAGGTGTCTTTCTGCTGGGCTTGGTGGTATGCGCCTGTCGTCCCAGCTACTGAGGAGGCTGAAGTGGGAGGATCACTTGAGCTCAGGACGTCGAGTGTGCAATGAGTCAATAATAGCACCACTGCACTCCAGCCTAGGCGACACAGCGAGAGAGACCGTGTCTCAAAAAGAGAGCCGGGGCCGGGGAGGTTGATAGTTCATTTATTGCTCTCGTCTACTCTATTAAAGCAGCTCTAACTTGATTTGTGTTGGTTTGTTTTTGTTTTACTAGGTTTTTAGGGAACAGGTGGTGTTTGGTTGCATAAACAAGTTATTTAGCAGTGATTTCTGAAATTTTGTTGCACCTATCACCTGAAGAGTGTATAGTGTACCCAATGTGTATTTTTTAATCCTTGAGTCCCCCGACCCTTTTCCTCGTGTCTCCAAAGTCCACTATATCATTCTTGTGGTGGTGGTGGTGGTGGTGGTTTGAGATGGAGTCTCATTCTGTCACCCAGGCTGGAGTGCAGTGGCACAATCTCGGCTCACTGCAAACTCCCACCTGCCCCAGGTTCAAAACCACGCGCATTTCTCAGCCGTCTCAATCCTCGCCCCAGTAGCGTGGGATTACAGGCAACCAGACCTCACGCCGGGGCCTAAAATTTGTTATCTGGTATCTTTAAGTAGAGAAGGGGTTTCCACCCATGTTGGCAAGAGTGGGGGGTCTCGAACTCCCTGACCCTGCCAAGTGATCCACCCACCTTGGGCCCTGTCAAAACTGGCTGCCGGATTAACAGACGAAGGAAGCCACACGTCCTGCGCACCTTTATATCTTTTTTTTTTTTTTTTTCTTTTTTTTTTTTTGAGAGGAGTTGCTTTTTCTGCCCCAGCCTGGAATCGCACAGTGGCCACCAATCTTCGGCTCACTGCAACCGTCCCGGGTCCCAGTGTCAAGCCATTCTCTCCTGGCCTCCAGCTCCCAGTTAGCTGGGTTTGACAAGGTGGCGTGCAGGCCAATGCCCTTGGCCCTAATTTTTTGTATTTTTTAATAGAGATGGGTCACCATGTTAAGTCAGGCTGGTTCCTCAAACGCCCTGAACCCGTCCCAGTAAATCCCCAACCCCCAACTCTCGCCCTCGGCCCCAAACAGTGCTGGGATTCTCAGGCGTGTCGCCCCTGCGCCGTGCATTATCTGCTCATCCTTACCTTTCTTTTTTATTCTTTTGTTTTTTTTTTTTTTTTGAGATGGCCGAGTCTCCGTCTGTCGCAGGCCGGGGTTGCACAGTGGGCCAGATCTCAGCTCACTGCCAAGCTTCCACCCCTGGGTTTGACCGCCATTCCTGCCTCAGCCCCTCCTGAGTAGCTTTGGGACTACCGGGCGCCGCACCCATCGCCTGATCTGGCTTAGTTTTTTTCGTAGTTTCTTAGTGAGAACCGGGGTTCAAAAACCGGTTTAACCAGGATGGGTCTGCGATCTCCTGACCTCATGGATCCCGCCGTCTCGGCACCATCGCCCAAAGTGCCGGGATTAACAGGCTTGAGCACCCAACACGCCCGGCCCCCAATTATGGGCGGTCCATCTCTTAAAGTGTCTTTTGCCTCCCCTCATAGCTCGTCCGCTTGCCCTCTACCTAACTTTATGGAATTGAAGAAGGTTATTTCTCATTAAGGGTTATTCGGAATTTACCAGTGTGCTTCCTTGGTCAGTTCCAACTGAAAATAGATGAAAATGCTTGAATGAACAGCAATTTATAATGATAAAAATTGCAAGTCCAAAACCATGTTAGGAGAATAAACTTGAAAATGTTTTAGAAAAGGAAACTTGTGGGCCAGGGCACGGTGGCGTCCGCGCCTGTAACTCCCAGCACTGTCTTTGGGAGGCCAAGGCAGGCAGACACCTGAAGGTCAGGAGCGTTCGAGACCAGCCTGGCCAACATAGCGAAACCCCATCTCCCGTCTATACTCAAAAATACAAAAATTATCGTGGATTGTGGTGTCATGCACCTGTAATCCCAACTACTCAGGAGGCTGAAGCAGGAGAATCGCTTGAACCCAGGAGGTGGATGTTGCAGTGAGCTGAGATCACGCTACTACACTTCAGCTTGGACAACACAGCAGTGGCACAATCTCGGCTCTTTGCAACATCTGCCTCCTAGTTCAAGTGATTCTCTTGCCTCAGCCTCCTGAGTAGCTGGGACTACTGGCGCGCGCCACCACACCCAGCTAATTTTGTCATTTTAGTAGAGACTGGGTTTCACCAGGCTGGTCTTGAACTCCTGACCTCAGGTGATCTGCCTGTCTCAGCCTCCCAAAGTGCTGGGATTACAGGTGTGAGCCACCACGCCCGGCCAGGAATATGCATCTTCCCAGTGATTCTAGTACAGTGATTTGCAGGCAACAGCTTGAGAGACACTGGCTAGTTTAGAATTTGGATGGAAAACATTTCCGTGGGTTATTCTTGTTAGGCACTTGTTTGTTTGAATTTATTTTTTTAGAGATGGGGATCAACTAGGTAATATTTTAATCTAATTTTATTCTCTGGGTTTAATGAAAGAGCTCAGGATTGAATCTGGGTTTTCTTTTCTCTCTTTTTTTTTTTTTTTTTGAGACGGAGTCTCGCTCTGTCACCCAGGGTGGAGTGCAGTGGCACTATCAGAGCTCACTATAGCCTCAACCTCCTGGGCTCAAGTTATCCTTCCACCTTAGCCTCCTAAGTAGCTGGGACTACAGGTGCGCATCTCCTCACCTAACTAGTTTTTTGTGTGTGTGGAGATAGGGGGTCTTGCTTTGTTGCCCAGGCTGGTCTTGAACTCCTGGTTTCAAGTGATCCTCCTGCCTTGGCCTCCTAAATGCTGCGATTCCAGCGTAAGCCACCTTGCCTGGCCAGAAATCGCACATTTTGAATTCTTCAAATGAAAACTTAATAGGTGAAAATAATTCTGTTTGTTGATATGAATTGTTTGTTTTGGAAGCCACTATTGCTGAAGATACTTTATTTCACTACAGTATCAATCCTAGTATAATTTTTAAGGAACACATCAGTTTTCCTCTCAGGATTATCATTCCTGGGTTTAAGTTTTCATTTTTCCTTTACTATTTGCCATATTCTTTAAAATTTTGTCAATTTTCAGAAACCAGGAAGCAACCACTTTCCATCTCATATTCCTAATGAAGTTGAAGAAAATGACAGCGTCTCTAAAGCTTCTTAAGACATCAGAAATTATTCTTAAAACCAGAGAGAGTCAGAATCAACTAGGTAATATTTTAATCTAATTTTATTCTCTGGGTTTAATGAAAGAGCTCAGGATTGAATATGGGTTTTCTTTTCTTTCTTTTTTTTTTTTCGCCATCTGCTCATTTCTGTATTTCTTTTCTTTTTTTTTTTTGAGAGCGGAGTCTCTGCTTTGTCGCCCAAACTGAGGTGCAGTGGCCGGATCTCAGCTCACTCCAAGCTCCCCCTTTCGGGTTTAGGCCATTCTCCTGCCTCAGCCTCCCGAGTAGCTGGGACTACAGGCGCTCGCCACCCGCTCCGCCGACTAGTTTTTTGTATTTTTTAGTAGGAGACGGGGTTTCACCGCGGTTAGCCCCAGGAC